GGGCGGCGCGACGGGGCTGTGAGGACGGCGCGACGGGGCCACTAGGGGCCGTGAGGGAGGCCGCTAGAGGCCACGAAGGGGAGTCACACGGGGCGCGACTCGGGCAGGGGCCAAGCGCGCTCCGGGCAGGAAAAAAAAGGTCGGTGGGCCCTAGGAACAGTTCCCACGGGGGAACCTGCTCTATACCATGTGAGAATTAGAACGAGAATGATTGAACTATGAAACAGTTGGGTACAAGTACTAACCCTTATTGGGTTGTACCCCTTATGGGCTACCCCACTACAGCCTACACAGATGTATAAGCTATAATCTCTGACACGTTTCAATAGTTCCTGTAGTTCGGGCGGTACCGCTGCCAGCAGTTTCTTGAAACCACTCGGCTGCTCTGCTCCCTCTACCACTGAAATGTCTACTGCGTACACGTCAGCTCCAGCAACGACAGCCCGTTTCATGGTGACGGCGTTGACGTGTACCGTTGAAGACTCGGGCGACTGCAAGCGAGGTAGCTCAACCCAGTTACCGCTACTTCGCACAGTGCAGCTACCCGTCGTCCAGTCAATTCGCGGGTTATACCGTCGCAGCCAATCACGTCCCAGTAAAATGTCGTGCCCATCGAGTGTCGTCGCGAGCATTTCCTGTGTAAATCCGAAATTTCCCCCGCAGCGGACTTTGACTCTCTCCACCCTTTCCCGTATGGCCAATGGTGTGCCGTCAACTAAGCGTGCATCCATCTCAAATAAACAACGGCTAAGTGTCAGTTGTAGTCTTCGTGCGGTTGCGGGATTAACTAAACTGTGACTTGCTCCTCCGTCGATAAAAATCTTCACTGCTGCTCCCTGTATTTTTCCGTGGATCAATAATGGGCAATCCATCGCTGTACCCTCCTTATTCGTCCGAGCCCGATCGATAGCATGAATCGGTACTGTGACTTAGTGAGGGTCGATGGGGTTGGGCGAGCAGGCAGTCTCGTCAGTAGTTGGCCCGATTCCTACTGACTGCTGGCGTTTCCCTGCCTTGGAGACTCCCTCCCCTACTCTGCTCCGCGGCGCCTCAGCTCCTCTGGGCATTCACTCTTGCGATGGCCCGGCCTCTTGCAAGCAAAGCAGCGCCCCTTAAACGGCGCAGCAGCTGCATTTGTCGCAACGGCATGTACGGTGGCGTGCTCGATCGGTCCCCGAGGACGATGTCCATAGTAGGACCCCGGTCTCGGACGGCTCAAAATGTCGATTTTCTCGGCGAGTGCGAGAATCTTGTTGAAATTCGAGAGTCCGTGTAGCATGATCTCGTGCGAAATGTCTGGCTTCAGCCCTCCGACGTAACGGTCCACCCGCTCCGCCTCGTGCATGTAGCCGACTTGCTCGCATAATGCGAGAAAACCACTCGTGTAGCCTTGAACCGACCCGAGCTGCCGCCAAGTATGCAGTCTTTGACGCGCCGAAATAGAAGCCGCGATCGGCTCGAAGCGCGCCCGAAGCCCTGCGCACCACGCATCCCACGTGCTGTACTGGGCGGTTTTGTAGAATGAACTCCAAGTGACAGCTGGACCCGTGGGCCCTTCCTCTTGCGATGGTGGCTCGTAGCCGCGTGGCGACGTCACGATGACTCGCCACCAGTCCATGGCGGGGCCCCTCAGCAGCGAGACGGCATATCGGATCTTCGCTGCGTCCGACTCGACGTAGTTTGCATCGAAAAATACGTTCATCGTAAAGACCCACGATTGAATCGTCGGACCTCCACGCTGGCTTGGGTCGAAACAGGGCGGGCGCTGCGGCTTGAGTGGCATTGGTGCTATGATGGCTTGGTCGCCACTTGTCGCCGCGAACTCCATGTGCTGACGGGCTTCACGAGGCTCCCGCGGGCTTAGCGCGACCCTGTTTCTCCCCATGCCCGGCATCTGTTGGGCTGCGCCTAAGCGCTGTCCCACGCTGTCGTTCTGTGTTGGTGTGAGTGATGAAATGACGATCAGCTCCTCCGATTGTGCAGGTGCATTTGCAGGTGCGTGTGGTGGCGCCGGAGTATTCACCGTGGATTGCTGATGCGCGGAGTCACGTTCCGCCGTGAGCGTCGCAATTTCGAGCGCCGATTCTTCAACTTGGCGCACGAGACGGTCGAGTTGCTCCTGCGTCAGTGTCGCGAGAGTAAATTCAGCCATGGCGGGGGTGTCGGGCAAGCTCAGCGAGAGCCTCTGTCGTGGCCGTGCGTGCTTACGAGAGAGCATTACGAGCGGCGGTGATGTGTCACTGAGAGACGTCTACCCCCCCAAAAAATTGAGATAGTGGGGAAGCGAAGGTGTGGGTGCGGTTCGAGAAGAGATCGTAGGCTCCGAATACCAAGTGTTACGAGTGCAATTGAGTGGTCGAGCGAGAATTGCACTATCGAAGCAAGAGTACAATGAGCGAAGGCATGAGCGAAGAATATATAGCGAAACTACCGTGGTAACGGTAATGGACCGTGGTTGTCGCACGACGGGTCTGGGGCTGAGGTTTGGGGAAATGTCGAAGCGGAGGTCCAGAGCGCGGGCTACCCGCCGAGCCGTGAGGTCGGGGTGCGACGTGCGAAGGTGGCGGGAGGATTGTCGATGCGAGGGTTGCGAGTGGTAACGGTGCTGACTGTGGTGCTACAGTGGTGTACGCGCTGAACGGGGACGCAAAGTAAGGAAAAGGAATTTTCCTTACACAAGGTCACTTTAGCTCGACTCCACAAGTCACTGGCCGAGCCGCTTCTGTGTATCTTTGAAGATGACATTTCTAGTGTGCCTTTTTCCTTAAAGCCCGAGTGTAGAATGGCAATGGTTCAAGTTCAAGATTCTTGAAGCTGAAATCGCAAAAAACAGGGTAACCCACTTTTGAACTACGAGGCACTCGCGACCACGGGAAACAGTTTTTGGTTGAGGGATTCTGATTGGCTGAGATCAACACAGGCAAATTTATCAACCCTCTCGCCACAAAAGCCAACCCAACAGGCCACTGTTCATACATCTGTGATCATTGTCATCGCGATCTTCCCTTGATTCAACCGTTCGATGAATGGCTCTCTGCCATGGCTCCTTCTGAGAACTTCAACTTACTCAATGTCATGCTTAGCTCTATCAGTTCGACCATCTGAATACAGATCCGGGATCTACTCATCAAGAGCTTGTTTATGACGCCAACATTGTGTTCACAGAGCGAACATCGGTTAGTCGTAACTGCTTCTATGAAGATCTTTGTTTTTCAGGTTAAGCAACTGTTTTTAAGCTCAAGACATTCAAGTTACTCTAAGGAAGTTAAAATGGTCGGGTCAAACCGTCGCTTAAGATGGCACCGTGAAAACAAGACAGGTTCAAGACAAAGAAGCGGAAAGTGCAAGTACAAGGAGGCTGGACAACGGAACATATTTCGTTTATCTGCCTTTGCTGCGATTCATCGTCTACCAAAGAGAGAGGAAGCTCATAGTCAAGTGCAGAGACCACCTCAATCACTAGCAGGAACGATCAAGGATGGACCAGAGCCAATTTTCCATCGGATTGAATTTATGACGTCGGCGGAACGGGACGTTTCACGAAATTTTGGCACGGCTCCTAGAGTATTTCAAGACGTTGACTATTTTCCTACTGGAATGTGTGAAGAAGGTTATTCCGACTTTAAGATTCTGAAGAAGAGGAAGACAGAAGTAGATTCTGGAATTTTCCCTACGTTACAAGAAGCATACTTTCATTTGGAGGAAATAGATGACGCCGTCAGAGTGTTTCGGCGCCATGAATCAAGGCAAGCTACTCGAGGTGTTTTTCCCTCTGAAGGTGTTTTGCTCTCAGCTGCTCCTATCACACCGCTCACACAAGCTCGAACGACTGCAAGTGTGACTGGAAACATTCGTCGTCCCCAAGGCCCTGTCAGGCATCAACTTCTAAGCAGGGCAATTTCTGTTGTAACCCAACTCCACCAATCTCAGCAAGGCAAGGTCAGAGCCAATCGACCAAGGCTGAAGCGTCACATTCGTCACCAAGGCCTTGTTCAGCAGCGGCGACCCAGAGCTGCTTCTGTCGCAAACCAACCTCACCAGACCAGGGAAGGCAGGTTCGGAGGAGCCAAGCCACCAAAGCTAAAGCGACAAAACCAACATGAGGAATGTATCGAGATGCTTCTGCAAGTACTGAAGTGTGACAACGGCACAATAGGTTTTTGTGGCGGGCAAGCTGTAATGTTTAGGCGTTTGGTCTATAAGCCTCCGTAGAGATCTGGGAGGGTACGGTAGTATACACTACCTATGCCCTCTAGCACCGGTTACGACCGTGGTGTTTTTTTGCATTGTACGTGTACAGTGCATATTTCACCTACCAAAAAAAAAAAAAAAACAAGAGGCGACGAATTCGTCTTAGGGTTGCGAAGCGTTTTGCGTAATTATATAAATTTGTACAACTTCTAATTCTGTACATAATGCTGTAATATGACACTAAGTGGTACTTCCTCTCACCAGGAAAAGGTCAAATGTACAGCGCGAACGAGATCCGAACCAAGGACCTTTCGATTCCTCTCCAAGCATTGTACCACTGCTACAGCACAGATGGTCACCTTGAATAGCTGAATAACTAAGACATAAACAATTGCGACGAATCTGAGACTACCTTAGGGTTTATCTGCCCTTTTTTTCTCCCGCTTTTCCTCGCTCGTCACGCTCTACCAACTTCTTGACCTACTCTAACTGCAACTTAGGTAAGAAGATCCCTCAACTTTAACTCCAACTAAATTAGATGCCTATTAGATAGACTAACATTTAGTCATTCCGTATCCTAGCCGTGTAAATGGATGAGTATTAGCGAGACTTAGTTGTTTAAACTTAGGTTCTCGGCCCTTTGTAAAGATTTCAGGTTCTCCTTCCTGCATAAGCTTGCATCTGTTTCTTCTATTCTTCATCCTTAAACTTTTCCTCTCGTCGGTTGCCTTTTCTTCATATTTGCATGTTTTAGTTCATTTTTTTCTCAACCTCGTCTTAGGTTGTACATAAAGATTGTAATAGGTTGCATGTTCAGTCCATTTCGTTCTCTCTCGCTCGTTCTCTCTCTCCCGTTCTCTCTCTCCCGTTCTCTCTCTCCCGTTCTCTCTCTCCCGTTCTCTCTCGCTCGTTCTCTCTCTCCCATTCTCTCTCCCGTTCTCTCTCGCTCGTTCTCTCTCTCCCGTTCTCTCTCTCCCGTTCTCTCTCTCCCGTTCTCTCTCTCCCGTTCTCTCTCTCCCGTTTTCTCTCTCTCGTTCTCTCTCTCGTTCTCTTTCTCGTTCTCTCTCGTTTTCTTTCTCTCTCGTTCTCTCTCTCTCTCTCTCTCTCTCTCTCTCTCTCTCTCTCTCTCTCTCTCTCTCTCTCTCTCTCTCGTTCTCTCTCTCTCTCTTTCTTTCTCTCTCTCTCTCTCTCTCTCTCTCTCTCTCTCTCTCTCTCTCTCTCTCTCTCTCTCTCTCTCTCTCTCTCTCTCTCTTTCGTTCTCCCTCTCTCTTGTTCCCTCTCTCTCGTTCTCTCTCTCGTTCTCTCTCTCGTTCTCTCTCTCGTTCTCTCTCTCTCTCTCTCTCTCTCTCTCTCTCTCTCTCTCTCTCTCTCTCTCTCTCTCTCTCTCTCTCTCTCTCTCTCTCTCTCGTTCCGTCTCTGTCGTTCTCTCGTTCTCTTTTGTCAAATCTCTCGTTCGTTCTCTCTCGTTCGTCCACTCTCTCGTTCTCGCTCTCTCGTCCTCTCTCTCTCTCTCTCACTCTCTCTCTCTCTCTCTCTCTCTCTCTCTCTCTCTCTCTCTCTCTCTCTCTCTCTCTCTCTCTCTCTCTCTCTCTCTCTCTCTCTCTCTCTCTCTCTCTCTCGCTCTCGCTCTCGCTCTCGGTCTCCGTTGTTCTCGCTCAACGTATTTGTTATATTCTCTTCGTTCGTTTACTGTCTGGTCATGTGTTTTTCCTTTTGTTCTCGTTCTTTACTTTCGTTTTATGCCTTAGTACATTTTCTCCTTGTTATTTGTCAGCTCTAACCCTTCAATGCTCATGGCGTTTTTCTTGGCCCTTGTATTGTTTCATTTGTTTCTTCATTATTCCTTTTTCTTGTAATTTCATTATGCCTTGTTATTTCCCATTTGCCTTCCCTTACTCAACCCAGCTTTGTCTTACTTTTCAGGCAGTCGAGCTCAATATGAGAAGTAGACTGATATTGCTTGTGACTTACAGTATAGGATACATAATGTCTTGGTGATTTAGGTTTCTATTTCATATGCGGTTAATATGCTTTGTCAGTTGGCTTCGTGCGTGCGTGTCTGTGTGAATGTGTATGATCATGTGTATGCGTTGTGTTGTGTGCGTATGCGTTTTCATTCATGTTTCCATTGCATTAATAACACATGTCTGTGGGGTTTAAAAATTGGGATCAAACTATCATTTCCGAGAAGGTTCTTTGCGCACTCAGTGAGTGTGTCCATTCGAACTGGATTTGATGGAATTGACCTGTTTTTTATATCACACAGATTGTGTTGTTTCATGTAACAGTTGGATGATTCAGAAATTATGCTATTGAGCTCCCCCCCATGCTAGGCAGGGGATGCGGTAGCATAGGGTCTGCGTCAATTAACTGTTACGCACTTCCATCATGCTGTGCATTTATTTCATTACGGTACCGGTAGTACCGTATATGCATTATACTTATGCATTTGCATTTACTTCATCTACTTATAACAACAGCAGACATATGCATCACGGAATAAACAGTTATGTATTCACAGTACATCATTTTGGCAACTCATGAAATATAGGTTCAGTCAAAGTAAACTAGGAAATGAGAAAGAATGTGGTTCAGCACGTGGTAAATTGACGCGGCAGATACATAGCAGTCAGTCATTTAGCTAGTACCGTTCACTAGATTTTTTCCCTCTATTTTTTAAAGGTATTGAAGATTGAAAAAAAAAATTGTACATAACGATTGTAATAGGTTGCTTCGCAACCAAAAAAAAAACATCTGCAAACTTGAACGTCGAGCTAACCATAATAGACTCAATAACTAGGTGCCTCCATAGCTTACAAAATAGCGTAGTTGACGCCTAGCGCACTCACTCCCGCCCGTCCGTCCCGTCTCTCCCGTTCGTCTTGTGTCCCCCGTCAGACCCATCACTCCCATCCTCTCACAAAGTCACACAATCGAGTCACCTTCCTACTCAAGACGCCGGCCGTAACACACAAGGGGCCTTGACAATGAGCTCTTGTGAGCGGAGTCAACCACCATTCCGACCGTAGGCGGTTGGGGCACTCCCAACCAACCTGTCGCGGCCAATGTCACTTCCGTTCCCAATGCCGTTCCCATCGTCGAGGCGGTACCGTTGCCCTTGCCTCCGCCACCTATTCGTCGCCCTCCCTTCCCCTTACCTTCGCGCTCGCTTCCCCTGCCCGTCGCGCTCCCGTCTCCTTCCCATCGCGCACCCTGCCCTGTTCCCTCGCTTCCCCTGCCCGTCGCGCTCCCTTTTCCTGCTCGTCGCGCTCCCTTCTCCTGTTCGTCGCGCTCCCTTCTCCTGCTCGTCGCGCTCCCTTCTCCTATTCGACGCGCTCCCTTCTCCTGCCCGTCGCGCTCCATTCCGTCACTTATCATTTCTGTCACTCATGTGTGTCTTGGCCTCCCCCTTCCCTACGCGCTACTCCCCCTTCCCTACGGGCTGCTCCCCCTTCCCTACGCGCTACTCCCCCTTCCCTACGGGCTGCTCCCCCTTCCCTACGCGCTACTCCCCCTTCCCTACGGGCTGCTCCCCCTTCCCTACGCGCTGCTCCCCTTCCCTAGGCGCTGCTCCCCCTCCCTACGCGCTGCTCCGCCTTCCCTAGCTACTCCCCCTTTCCTACGCGCTGCTCCCCTTCCCTAGACGCTTCTCCCCCTTCCCTACGCGCTATTCCCCCTTCTCTACTCGCTGCTCCCCTTCCCTAGACGCTGCTCCCCCTCCCTACGCGCTACTCCCCCTCCCTACGCCCTGCTCCCCTTCCCTACGCGCTGCCCCCCTTCCCTACGCGCTGCTCCCCTTCCCTACGCGCTACTCCCCTTCCCTACGCGCTACTCCCCTTCCCTACGCGCTACTCCCCTTCCCTACGCGCTACTCCCCCTCCCTACGCACTGCTCCCCTTCCCTACGCGCTGCTCCCCTTCCCTATGCGCTGCTCCCCTTCCCTACGCGCTACTCCCCTTCCCTACGCGCTACTCCCCTTCCCTACGCGCTACTCCCCCTCCCTACGCACTGCTCCCCTTCCCTACGCGCTGCTCCCCTTCCCTATGCGCTGCTCCCCTTCCCTACGCGCTACTCCCCTTCCCTACGCGCTACTCCCCTTCCCTACGCGCTACTCCCCTTCCCTACGCACTACTCCCCCTTCCCACTCATCCCTTCTCCTTCCTTTCCGTCTCGCCTTCTCTCCTTCCTTCCCTCTGTCCATTCTCCAAAGAGTAGGGAGGGGGACTGAAGAGACCTTTATTCCCTCCCGCCTCACTCGCTCCCCTTGCTCACTCAGTTCCATTGCTTGCTATTGCACGTCACCTTCACGCACACCGGGTCACAAAGACACTCACTCACTTTCTTCTGTTACCAGCAGCACTCCTGTTAACCATGCCTGTCAATTGCTTCCCTCACCACCCCTCTCCTCCCTTCCCTCTCTCACCCCCCCTCCCTCCTCCAGTCCCTCCTGTCCTTCCCGTCCCTCCCGTCGCCCAACACCTTCCGTCCACACAGGGCAACCGCCTTGCATCGGGCCTGTCACTCACACACTTACATGTGACACTCACTCCCGTTCTGCAAACTCACTCCCCTCCTCTCCTCTCCCTTTCCTCGTGTCCTTCCCTCCGTTTCCCCCCCAGTCCCTTCCCTCCCGTTCCCCGTGTCCTTCCCTCCGTTTCCCACCTTGTCCCTCCCTCCACCTCCCCCGTCTTTCCCTCCGTTTCCCCCCTTGTTCCTCTCTCTCTTTCCCTGTGTCCTTCCCTCCTGCCCCCACCTTCCCCCTCCCTTCCTTTCCTCCATTCCTAACTGCTCCTGCTCCCCCTCCTCATCAATCGTTTTTCCCCGTCCCTCTGATCTCCGCCCTTATTCCCACGCCCCAACCCTCCCCGTCACCCACACATGTCGCAGGCACATATCACTTACACCTTCCCTCCTCCCACCTTCCCTCCTCCCACCTCCCCTACTCCCGCCATCTCTTTCCATCCCACTCCTCTTCACTCTGCCCTTTCCTTCTCGCTGTCCGTATCCGCTCACCTATTCTGACTCAGGTCTTCTCAAGTTGCGCCCGACTTACGCCTCACAAAATGGATGTGCAGCACCGACACTCGCCTTCCGCATTTGTGAACCGGAAGAGCGATAATGGGCACGAGTGGGATTATTAGGGGAGTAACTGACTTGACACTGTCTCACTTGCTTGGTGTATGTTGTCAAATGTTGTAGCCTGTAGTGAGGTTGGTCTTAGGGGGTACAGAAGTTAGGGTTTGTCATATGTACCCCAACCAACATCAATGCAACATCCATTCCTCATTCTGACATGGTATCAGCTAGGTTAGGATCCTGTGGGATCCCGTTCCTCCGTTCTCCGTTCGTACCTCCCGAGCCTAATCCTACCTCTCGTTCGTACTAGTTTAGTTGTTACCGCGCCTAGTACCGAGCCTAGCATCATCTCCCCCGTCGTGTCGCACCCGTTCCCCCCGTCGCGTCGCGCCCGTTCGCCCCGTCGCGTCGCGCCCGTTCCCCCCGTCGCGTCGCGCCCGTTCCCCCCGTCGCGTCGCGCCCGCCTGTTCCCCCCTGTCCCGTCGCGTCGCCCTGCCCTGTCCCGTCGCCCTGTCCCGTCGCGTCGCCCTGTCCCGTACCGTCGCCCTGTCCCGTCGCGTCGCCCTGTCCCGTCCCGTCGCGTCGCCCTGTCCCGTCGCGTCACCCTGTCCCGTCCCGTCGCGTCGCCCTGTCCCGTCCCGTCCCGTCCCGTCGCCCTGTCCCGTCGCGTCGCCCTACCCCGTCGCGTCGCCCTGCCCTGTCCCGTCGCCCTGCTCCGTCGCGCCGCCCTGCCCCGTCGCGTCGCCCTGTCCCGTCGCGTCGCCCTGCCCCGTCGCGTCGCTCCCGCCCTTTCCCCCGTCGCGTCGCCCTCCCTAGGCCCTAGCCCGTCGCCCTCCCTAGGCCCTGGCCCGTCGCCCTCCCTAGGCTCTGGCCCGTCGCCCTACCCTAGGCCCTGGCCCGTTGCCCTACCCTACGTTTTGGCCCGTCGCCCTAGCCCGCTCTTCCGCTGCGACTGAGTCCTCTTCCCCCCCGGTTGTTACTCGCCTGTTCGTTCGCGTTGGTTCTCACTATGGCGACTCCGCGAGTTCTTCGTTTCGACGCTGACGGTAGACCCCTTGACTTTTCCGTCTGGCTTCTTCGCGCTCGTCGTCTGTTAGAGAGTCAGGTCCAGGGGAGCGAGACCCTCTGGTCACACGCTACTGGTGACCTCCCCGAGCCCCCCGAGCCTACCGCTTTAGGCCCTGCTCCTGACGACGCTGCTACGGCTCGCTTTGCCCGTCAGCGCGCTGACCGGACGGCTTGGACGTCGCGTGACGCTGCGGCCTGCATCGCACTCAGCAGCCTCCTCCCTGAGTCCGAGGAGGTCCACTTTACTCAGGTTCGCACCGCTGCTGCGTACCTCACTGCGATTAAGGCCCGCTACTCTACTCCCGCTACTGTCTCTCTCGGCCGTCTTTTCCTCCCGTTCCTGTTTCCTGATCTTGCCTCGTTTGAGCGCTCTGCTGACTTGATCGCTCACCTCCGCTCGCTCGACGCTAGTTACCGCGCTGCTTGCACTGAGGCACAGCTTGCACTGCTTCCTCCCCCCATGGCGATTACTGTCTATTTCATCGCCACTAGCCTCCCTGACCGCCTTGCCTCCGTTCGTGACGCGCTTCTGCTGAAGCACCCTAGTGAGCTGACTATCGAGGTCCTTGAGTCTGCACTCAAGGACGTCGAGAGCAACCTTCGTTCGGTAGCTGCCGCCTCTGGTACTGTGTCCCCCCCACTCTTCCACGGGTGCACAGTCCCGCAGTTACCCACCTTCACTGCCTCTCTTGCCACTGCCGCTACTGACGCGACTGCGGCTGCTGTTACGACTGCGTCGCGGTCCCGCGGCAGGGGGGGCAAGAAAGGTGGTTCCGGTGGAGGTGGAGGCGGAGGTAGCGGAGGTAGTGGGGGTGCTGTTGCGACTGGCGGTGGTGGGAGTGCAGCGTCTGGAGAGACCCCTCGTGCAGCGGCTGGTGACTCCACTGCACCTGCTGGTGGCGGCGACCCTCGAGCTCGTCAGTCGCCTCCTGTACTGCCGGCCCCGCTAGGTGGAGCAGCGGCGTGGTACCAGGCTCAGCGTCAGCAGCACCTTCGGCAGCAGCAGCAGCCCCTTTCCTCCCAGCAGCCTCAGCAGCAGCAGCGTCAGCAGCTGGCTCCGGGGTCGGGGCTGCGTCAGCCCCAGCGCGGTGCTGCTTACCCTCCCTGCCCCTACCAGGTTCAGACAGGTCCTCGTCGGGGCCACCCTTGTGGCCGCTTTCACCCCCCTGGTCAGTGCTTTGCTCAGCTCACTGACACGGTCCAGTTGACCTACGGGGTTGGCGGTCCTGCTCCTGACTGGCTTCCTCTGGTTCAGCGCCACGGCTCCGCTCTGTGGGGCATGTCTGCTGAGCAGTTAGTTGATCTGATTAGTGCTCCTCATGCTATGTATGCTGTTGTTGACTCTAGTGTTTCTGACTCTGTTTACTCTGGTGTTGTTAGCTTAGGTGCTAGTCTTGCTCAGTTGCCTGTTGCTAGTGTAGGTACTTGTGTAGACTCTAGACCAGCGACTACCTCAGAGGACGCTTCGCTGTCGTCACACTGGACTCTGGAGCCTCCCACTGCTTCTTTCGGGACAGCACGACACTTACACCACTTCCTGCGCCTGTTTCTGTAGCGTTGGCTGATCCCACTACGGGACCAGTCACTGCACGTCACACTACCACTTTACCGTGTCCTGCTGCTCCCTCCGGGTCTCTCACTGGGTTTCACGTCCCCTCGTTCTCCCGGAACTTGGTGGGCGTGCGACCCCTCGTGAGTCAGCACGTGGGTGTGTGGTTTGAGCCTTCTGGAGAGACTGCGGTGTGTGTTGACGGAGACTCTTACCAGCCTCTTGCTACCTTTACTGCTGAGCCGGGCTCGGGTCTCTACACTCTTCACACTGGCCCGCGTGCGCCGCAGCAGCAGCCGCAGCAGCAGCAGCAGCCGCAGCCGCAGCAGCAGCAGCAGCAGCAGCAGCAGCAGCAGCACCAGCGGCCGCACCAGCAGCCCCCCCTACTGCCACTGCCCCCGGTTCCCCCCCCCGTTCGGGTCCCCGCGTCTCACCAGGTTGCTACGTCCCCCCAGGTGTCTGTGTCGTGTCAGGTTCCTACGTCTGTTCCAGTCGCTGCGTCGTGCTCCTGCCGGTCGCTTGCCCACCCCACCGTTCTGTGGCACCACCGGATGGGGCACCCGTCCCTTCCACGTCTGCGCGCTATGTCTAGTCAGCGTCTTGTCCTAGGCCTCCCACGTGTCTTGCCGTCGCTGCCGCCTTCGCCTGCGCCGCCGTGTCGTCCCTGCGTCGAGGGTAGGCTGCGCGCCACCCCTCACTCCTCCTCCCTTCGTCCGACCACCGAGCCTTTTGAGACGCTTCACTTGGACGTCTGGGGCCCCGCCCCTCGTCTAGGCCCTGAGCGTGAGCGTTACTTTCTGGTGGTAGTTGACGACTTCTCCCGCTACACCACAGTGTTCCCTCTGGCGAAGAAGTCTGAGGTGACTTCTACGCTGATCAGGTGGTTGCTCACCACTGAGGACACTCGTGGTCGTCGTGTCAGCTGTCTCCACTCCGACCGTGGGGGTGAGTTTCGCTCCGGCATTCTCGCTGGATTCTGTCGCGAGCAGGGCATTCGTCAGTCCTGGACGCTTCCAGAGTCCCCACAGCAGAATGGGGTTGCTGAGCGCCGCATAGGCCTGGTCATGGAGATCGCCCGCACCTCCCTGACTCACGCCTGTGCCCCCCATTTTCTGTGGCCCTACGCGGTCAGGTACGCCGCGCACCAGCTGAACCTCTGGCCACGTGTCTCTCGACCAGAGGTTTCACCGACCAGTCTTTGGACAGGGTCCCCTGGTGTTGCGTCGCGGTTTCGTGTCTGGGGGTGCTTGGCTCTTGTCCGCGACACCTCCGCGGACAAGCTCTCGCCTCGTGCCGTCCCCTGTGTCTTCCTTGGTTTCCCTGAGGACTCCTCTGACTTCACCTTTTACCACCCTCCCTCTCACCGGTTCTTTGACTCCCGTGACGTCCGTTTCGAGGAGTCCACTCCGTACTACGTCAGGTACCCCAGTCGAGGTCTCCCGGTTCCTCCTCCCCCCCTCTTCCTGACTGCCGTTCCCCCTCCTGCTCCCCCGGTACAGCCTCCCCCACCTGGTCCAGCCCCGTCAGGTGTGTCCCAGGCTACCCCTCCTCCTTCGGTAGCCCCTCCGGTACAGCCTCCCTCCCCACAGTCCTCCTCGCAGCGTGCCGCTGGTGCTAGCTCTCGAGAGGTTGGTGCGGTGCCTGTTCCTGTACCGGTTTCTGGTTCTGGGGGTGCTGGAGTTGGAGCTGGAGTTGGAGCTGGAGTTGGCACTGGAGTTTCTGGTTCTGGGGGTGCTGGAGTTGGAGCTGGAGTTGGAGCTGGAGTTTCTGGTTCTGGAGTTGGAGCTGTCCCGGTGGGTGCGGAGGACTCTTGTCGTCCGGGAGCTGGTGCTGGCCGCGCGGACACTGGGGGTGCTGCGTCTGGGGGTGAGGGTGCGCCTCCTTCGGGTTCAGGTGAGCCTGGTTCTGGAGCTGGTGTTAGTGCTGCCTCTGGGGGTGGTGCGCCTAGTTCTTCTGAGGTGGACTCTGGAGCTGCCGCTGCTTCGGACACTACTCCACCCCCCCACCCCTACCCGACTAGGCACCAGGCTCGTGTTCGCCGTGCCCGTGACGAGCAGCTGGCGTTGGAGAGAGAGGAGAGGGAGTTACAGCG